TTTAATATAATTAAAAAAAATATCTTATAATTATATTCAACAAATTTCACATGTATAATAATTTTTAAATCTCAATTTTAACAATATATTAGTAAGGAAGGGTCGATTCTGTGCCATTCAACCAAGGGAAATATCGAAAAATGTTGGCAGGTGCAAACTGGTGGTACTAATGAAAATAATTGACTCCTTATTTATAAAACCTCACGTACGTTTACGCCTTGTTATCTTTTTTAGGGTTATTAAGTCCTATAAAAATAAAATACATGCGTGAGTGTAGTAGAACACTCGGTTGGAACGAATTTTCTTTCTTAGTATATTATTATTGTTAAACGTATTATATTATTGATTAACAAATACAAATAAATGAATTATTAGCGTCTATTAAAATGAAACATCATTTAAAATAATATTTCTTTCATGGCAAGATAAGAAAATGTGCGAGGGAGATGGATATTATTTCATCTCGCTTCCTTATAGCCGCCAAAGCTGTCTACACTACGTCAGAAGGGGTTGTGAGGGAAAAATCTTACACTTTTTCTCGCCTAGCCCCCATCCGCCAATTTCGTACCGTCCGATAACGAACTTCGTTATAAAATACTTTTCACAATATATAAAAATAAATAGCCCAAACTTGATGTAAATTTTCAATTGTAGAAACAAATATTCTAGAAACGGTAAGTTGTAAAGTAACATCCTATTTACGTCCCACTCCTGGGCATAGGCCTGCTCTCGTTCCTGACAGAGTCAGCAATGAAGTTTCCGTAACACTGCCCCAGTATATATTGGCGGCCTCCACATGTCTTAGAATTATTTATTTTTTTATCTCTCAGACATGCAGGTTTCCTCACAATGTTTTCCTTTACCGCCAAGCATGTGGTAAATCAGCACTTAAAATTACTGCAACTAACAATTTCATTGGTGCCTGCGGGAATCCAACTCAGATTAATCGCGTACTATAATATTTACGGCGTGCGCTATGCTCCTGAGATAGGTCTTTAAAAAAAACGATAGAAACCATACAAAACATACGCAAAGTTAAACTTCATAATATTCAATTTTCCGGTAAAGTATTTTTAGCCATAAATTAAACGTTGGATACGAAAATACGTTTTCCCGCGACAGTCGGTTAAACTCGCGACTTTATTTTGCGAAATTAAACGCATAAATTACAATAGGTTACGCCCAATCTAACAGTTTCTGTTGCTGGATATATTATCTTTTACTAGGTTTATTATGATTTGGTTATTAATAAGTATACGAAAACGAGCTTATTTTTTATCATATTATGGTATCTATACAAATAAATATAATTTAAGTGTCTGTTTGTAATGTCAAAAAAACAGCTCTTTACTAAATGCATATGAAAGTATATACGGTACTTATAACAATAAAAAAATGCGTGAGTGTCGTGGAACACTTGGTTGGAACGAAGTTCCTTGCGTAGTATATTATTATTGATAAACGTCCGTCATATTATATTATTGATTAGCAAATACAAATAAATGAATTACTAGCATATATTAAAATGAAGCGTCATTTGAAATAAAATAATATTTCTTTCATGGCATGATAAGAAAAAGTGCGAGAGAGATGGATATTATTCCATCTCACTCCCTTATTTCGCCGCCAAGGCCGACTACACTATGATACAAGGGGTAGTGACGAAAAAATCTTACACTTTTTGTCGCCTAGCTGCCATCCGCCAAACCCGTACCGTCCGATAAAGAACTTCGTTCCAAAAGAAATTTGTGTGCAGTTCACACGCAGTAGAAGTTAAACCTTCAGAAAACTAAACTTCGAGAGAATAAGACGAATTCAGAGTATGAGGAATAGGATAATTGTAGGGTTTATTTATTACTAGCTGTTCCCCGCGACTTCACCCGCGTGGAGTTATTTTTCGCGGAACCCTAAAATAAAAGCAGCCCAAGTTACTCCTTATAACATCAACTATTTGCTAGTGTGTATAAATATTGACAAATATTGACATTAATATTTATACGATACTAAAACGTCACTCAATTGTTTTGCCTTCCCGGAATCCCCCCACTAACACTTAAACTTTATGGTATGGTATTAAAGTTCAAATTGACTTTTAAGTATTATTACGAATCTTTTGTATGGGAATATAGAAAAGTGTTGTTTTTAGACTTTTTCAGGCAATTTTTTAAATTTTTCTCTCCGTAAGAACCATCTTCGTACATCAAGGAATATTATAAAAGAAGAATTAGCGAAATCGGTTCAGCTGTTCTCGAGATTTGCGCTTAACAACACATTCAGCGATTCATTTTTATATTATAGATAATATTGTTACCAAGTTTAAAAATTGTTTTACATAGGTATATTATACAGACTCCTAGTTTTATTACATCTTCTATTCTATTCCATTAGTCTATAAACGTCCACTGTTGAACATAGACCTCCCTCATAAATTGCCTCATGGGAGGAATTAGTTTTAGTTGACACGGTTGGCAAACGGGTTGGCAACCGCAGTTTTTTATTATTCTGAGTATTCAGGAAGATGCTGCCGCTTATCTCCAGTTTCATTTTCCCTCTGTCGCCTTTTACGACACCCTTAGGATGATATGGGGTAGTGGATATTCTTACACCGCCACTACACGGCAATTAAACAATTACACAGACTCCAAGTTTTTTTTAAATAGAATTAGGGTAACCAACGAGCACACAGTCCACCTGATGGTAAGTAGTTGCTGTGGCCCATAGACATCTACATCTATCTTCGTTTGCGAATTAAAATGCAGATGCGTTGTCAGCCGTGAGGACTAAGATGGAATGCCTCTGTTCCAGTAAAATAGGTCTCTGGTTCTCTACACTCACCATACGAAACATAGCAGCATTAGGCTGCTATTTTAAGCTGGTATTCTGTGAGAGTGTGGTATCCCGGTGCTTTCGCGGTCAAGCCGACTGATTCGTGCTACAACTATACTATTAAAATTGCTGCAGTCTGCGTCTTCGGTAGCACTTAAATATTTTCTAATCAACAAATTTCGTCTTTAATCCTTACTGCTCATAGATCACATGCCTAACCTCCATACATAATAGAAGCCACTGTATACTGTATTCTATCTCATTCTCTCACAGGATAAATCCTATAGATGTATTATGTGTCTCTTTTTAGTATCGCTGTTTTGGTTCATCGAGTTTCAAATCACAAAGATTCTAAAGAAATTTTCACTTAAAAAAAATTCTGTGTGTTCTGTCTATTTGTTTGTTTGTTCCGGCTAAACATCAAAATAGCTCTAGACCGATTTTGACGGGTTTTTCACTTACAGATAGCTGATGTTATAAGGAGTACCTCAGAGTTATTTTATTGTTAAAAAAATTAAACCAATAAAATCCAATTGTAATAAATTCCACGCGGACGAAGTCGTACGGAACAGCTAGTATTAAATAAAAACGAATAGTAATCTTAACCGATGAGATTGTATACATAGTGGAAAGAGGAGTGTCAGGATCGTCCCAAATGGAAGTCCGTAGTCTATACGTAGTATATCTATTTTAGTACATTGGTTTCACGTGAACAATTTGCTCTTAAACGGCAATAAGACAAAATGTATTAAATTTATAATAACTAATGTAAAACATTCAAATACCAAAGTGCTCTTTAATGGGGAGGAGTTGAGTCTTGTGGATACCACTGTTTTTCTTGGTATTACTATTGACGCGAAGCTTCAATGGGCCCCCACATATCTAAATTAGCAAGCAGACTTAGTTCTGCAGCATATGTTCACCAATGTTGAAACAGCTAGATTAGTTTATTTTAGTTACTTTTATAGCGAGATGTCTTATGGAATTTCGCTGTGGAGTAATGCGACTGATATCGAAGCTAGATATATTTGTTTTGCAAAAGAGAGCCGTACGGTCGATTTATAACTTAAATTGTAATGAGCCCCTTAGGGAAAAATTTAAAGAAATAAACATATTAACTTTGGCATCGCAATATATTTATGAAAATGTAATGTATGTACATAAAAACATAAATAGCTTTGATAAGAATAAATATGTTCATACCTTAAACACTGGGAACAAACATAAGCTTGTAATACCAGTTACTAGACTCCACAGAGTTAGTAATTCATTTATGCGGTATACGCTTTTACAAAAAAAAAATCCCAGAAAATGTACAAAATTTGTCAATAAATAAGTTTAAATGTTTTATTAAAGAAAACTTGTACAAAAAGAGTTATTATAATATCAAAGAATACATAAGTTAAAAAACCCCTGGAAATGAGGTCATCGCCACCATTCGGTTCTATTAAAACTCATTTAAAATTTCTACGAACAAAAAAAAGTTATAAAGTGAAATATGTAAGTTCCGCTGGGTTTCTTGCTGGTTCTTCCCAGGAGTTATTTTCGAACCAGTGGTAAATAAAAAATGACTTTCATTAAGTGTTATGTAATAATCTATATTGAATAAAAATTATTCTATTCTATTCTATTCCTACCCCTCTGGGTAACAAGCATGTCAGTGTATGTTACGTTTAGATAAATAAAAACTATCACCCAAAAAAAATTAATACCTCACACACGACTCCGTCATCAGTCTTAAACTTTGGTATTTTTTGTCCTGATATTCTTTAACGTTTAAAGTACAAAGAAATATAGAGTACTTAAGCATAAGCTGGAATTATTTGTTTTCTTATCATTTAGTGTATAATTACTTTAAAAATATTTTCTTAACTATTAGAATGACAACTTCAATAGTATTTTGTTATAAATGCTTATTACAATTTCCCTAAGTTATTTTGTTAAATTAAAAAAAAAACACATTATTATCAAATAAAAAATGTCTTTAAAATTTTAAGTAACAATCGAACTAACCTATCTGAAACGTGACACAAAGACATTCCTTCAGCAGAATATTTACCAGATATTTCGCAAACAAACATTGCTAAGTTCCAAGAACGCCATCAACAGTGCCCGGTTAATTCAGTATCAATTAAGTGTTGGTAATTGCTGTGTGAGTGTACCGCTGTATTACGATGAAGATCCTTAAAAGTAGGAATATAGTTTCTCACTTAAGTAATGCTGTTGTTGTCAAAAAATGTGTCTATTTTACAGTAATATTATCGATATTATCAACCGGTTTCATATTAAATTTGATGATTAATGAAAGTCAACCAATGTATAAAGATCATCACGTTAAGTTTCCAACAGACTTAAAATATATATTGTTTTGGAGACTGGAAACAAACAGAAAGGGATATTACTTCAAAAAACTGCCCGACTTACTTGAAGGACAAGCTATGTTTATTAATCAAAAATGCAAATATATAAATTGCTTTATCACTTACAATAATAGTATTCTTCATGGTAACAGTAAGAACTTTGATGCGGTGGTTTTTAATATAAAAGAAATCTTCGATGTTAAGCGCGAAGAAATAGAATTAACAAGGTCACCCGAACAAAAATATATTTTCAACTCTATGGATTCAGCTGCAATATTCCCAGTTTGCTTTCCTTATCTTGATAACTTCTTTAATTTAACTTGGACCTATAGGTTTGACTCGGATATACCACAGCCGTTTTTCGACATTTATGACTATAACAATAATTTGGTGGGTCCAAAACAACAGATGAATTGGATCATTGACATGAAACACACAAATAGATACAAAAACGTAATTCATAATAAAACTAAAGCAGTCGCGTGGATCGTAAACAAATGCAGATCAAGACGCAAACATTTTCAACTTGTAACGGATATTGGACGAGAACTAAATAGCTATAATTACAGCTTGGACTTATATGGAAAATGCGGTGGAACTAAATGCCCTGGTGATAATATTTTAAGCTGCTATGAAATAATTGAAAAAAGTTATTACTTTCAATTGGTATTAGAAGATACAACATCTGAGGATCACGTTACTGAAAGGATGGGACGAGCAATGATGCAAACTGCAATTCCTATTGTACAAGGTGGTTTAGAATATGCAAGGTATGTATAAAAATTTAATCTTTTAAATAGTCTTTCTTGCTGTTTAGAAACAGGTGTCAGAATAATTTACCATTTTTGAACTGATGATACAACCTGAACAGCTAGCATGGGCTGGGGACAAACATTTTATCCCCCGATTATATCTACTGACAAGAGATAAAATTATCTTGTCCTTATGTCAAAGCTCAGCAACGGGGAGAAGTATATCCCCGTATGACCTAACGAGTAGACATATATACCCCGTCCAAGCCCAATGAAAGGAGGAGCCAAATGAAAGATAAAAAATTATGCTTTTTTGACATTTGAAAGGGATTATTCTATCCTAGTTCATTGGACATGGGTTTAAGTTTATATTCATACAAAAATCTATCTAAGTCTAAGTCTATATCCCATTTTATCTACTGTGGATTTTATATCCACCGGTGTGCCCATACTCGAAGGGTGGATAAAACGAAGCGAGGGGATAAACATTTTCTCCTTTACCCGGGGATAAAATTGTCTCCTGCCCATGCTAGCCCTGCAGACACTGCTTATGAATCAGAAATTATATTTTAGGACTGATACTTCTCAAGAGTTCTTCCAACATCTTAGTTAAGAGTAACATCCTACTGCTTTCAACAGGCCTTATTTTATATCTAAAATATTCTTTTATATCTAAAATTAGAGGAAAAGAAATTGGCCGCACTGTCTCTTTGCATTTTGTTTTTTTTACTTATTATAGCCAGAGCTTGGCACCTTGTGGTAAATGGTCATGAAAATAGTTGATAAATGGCTGGTGAATTTTATATCATCAATTTTTTTCAATTAAACTATAATGCAGATTTCCTCACGATGTTTTAATAAACACTAGCATGTGATAAATCGGAATGTAAAATGTGTTTTGTGCGAGAATTGAACACAGTTTACTGGCGCAACACAAAATTTAAAGCAGGCACTTACTCGTATATTTATTTCCACTGTCTATTAAAGTCTAAAATATTTTTAAAGTATTACTGCCCTTGGTTATACGAAAACAGTGAAAATGAAATGGAGTTACAGGCTGTTACATCTGCATAATGATTTTTTATAATTATTATCATGTCATATGCTTACAGTTATTTGCCGCCTGGTTCATATATTAACATGAAAAACCTGACTATAAAGGAATTGGGAGCAATTATTGATTACCTCATCCATAATCCGAAATATTACGCCTATTTCTTTGACTGGAAGAGTTATTACTACTACACAATTAGACCAAAGGACTATGTTTGCGATTTATGTGCATACCTGAATGAAGATATTGGACACTCTAAGAAAACTTACAAAAAATTTCGGAAGTGGTGGAATTCGGCTTTTCACAAGCATTGTCAACAGAAGCGTTTATTTGATTTATTTATTGATTTTCAATAAAGTTTAAGCATTTATAGCGGTAATAGTTTATTTTTAAATTGTTTGCGGTCACAATCATTAAACTAAAGTTGCCATATGTTGGTGGCATAACAGATCCCCATTCCTCAGGCAAGTATTGTAAGATCTTTTGATGATATTTGTGTACTATTTCGTTCATGATCCACATCGGCAACAGGTATATCAGCGTTAAAGATATGTAACGGCTTATTTTACGTTGGCAATCCACCTGACAAGCGTGATGATTAAGACAAACCTTCGCTGTAATAAAAGAGGCCAATATCCAGCAATGGATACTGGCCTCTTTTCTTGTGAGAAGAAAACATTTTTCATAAATTATCTCGAAGTCCTTAAATGTTAAAGATTGTGTAAATTTTAACACTTGCAATTTTAACAGATATACCTTTTTCCCTACAAAGGGATTCCGATTTCACTGAAGGGGTCACATCTGTGATCGACGGCTCTTGAATCAGATTTATTGAATACTTTTTATCTCGCCTTTTTCTGACAATAGAATGAAAGCCAATCTATCTTCCTTCTATTCATAGCTATTTTTATAAATTATTTACAGTTTAGTTTAAAACAAATAACATGATTAAATTGTCTGTTAATCTTAAAATATAATTAATTAAATACTAATTTAATTAAGGATTATCACATTTAGAAATAAAATCGTCCATGCCATAGTTGTCAAGCCTGGCAGGCGGGTTGACAATCGCAGTTTTATTTTTATTTTGAAATGTTATCAGATAAATGCTGCTGTCTATTTCCAGATTTTTTCCCTCTGTCGTCTCTTACAAAACCCACGGGTTGTAATGGGATAGTGTATTTTAATTCTCTTACGCATCCATTACATGGCGACCTGAATCTTTAACATGACTTAAAGAAAACTAAAATATCACCATGCCAGAGTTCAATGGAAAGGAGCACAATATAAGGCATGCAAATTCGTTATTTGTATATACGTATGATTAAATTCTGATATTATTATCTATTTGTTTATATTTTTATAAGAAATTACGCGAAAAACAGTGTTTGTATTTGATATTTGACTGATGTAAAAAAAACTATGTCATCTATGTAAAATTGTATTTTTATAGAATAAGTATGACAAACGAGCACACAGTCCACCTGGTTGTAAGTGGATGCTGTGGCCCATAGACATTTATATTTATGCGTTGTCAGCCCTGAGGACTGAAATGGAATGCCTCGTTTCCAGTAAAAATGGTATCCGGTTCTCTACACTCACCATACGAAACACAGCAGCATTAAGCTACTATTTTACGCTGGTATTCTGTTAGAGCATGGTCCTACCGCGGTCGAGCCGAACCATACGTGCTGCACCCACACTACATATACGAGTAGCTGCAGCATGGCTCTACCACGTAAAAAACAAACGCAAATATCAAGAATATTATAATAATATCCTTCATTTTTATTTCTGATTCCATGTGTGAAGTAATATAAATAAGAATATTTTTTTATAGAATTAGGGTGAAAAACAAGCACACAGTCCACCTGATGGTAAGTGGTTGCTGTGGCCCATAGACATCTGCATCTATCGTCTATTACGAATCAAAATGCAGATGCGTTGTCACCCGTGAGGACTGAGATAGAATGCCTCGTTTCCAGTAAAAAGGGTCTCCAGATCTCTACACTCACCATACGAAACACAGCAGCATTAAGCTGATATTTTACGCTAGTATTCTGTGAGAGCGTGGTCCCACCCCGGTCGCGCCGACCCATTTGTGCTACATCTATACTATTAATGGCAGCATGGTTCTACCAGGTATAAAACTTTTTTACTTCGTTTACTTTTTTATTAATAAGTTGTATATCAATATTTGTGTATAATCAAAAATCTTACAATAAATGTATTGACTCCGTGTATGGGGGGCGTAAGAATATGCACTTCCCCATATCATCCTGTGGGTGTCGTAAAAGGCGACAGAGGGATCGATTACCACCAGCGATTTTTCCGGACAGATACGACTTAGGGATCTTCAAGAAAAGAGCCTACTCCTTTTTAAAAGGCCGGCAACGCATCTGCAATTTCCCTGGTGTTGCAGTTCTTCATGCGCGGCGGTAGTCACTTACCATCATAAGCCGCATGCTCGTTTCCCCCTCAAGTACAAAAAAAAAGATGGGCAGTAGCGTCTTCCTAATAACGACTAAAAATAAAAAAAACTGCGGATGTAAACCCGCTTGCCAAGGATGGCAACTATAGCAAATATCCCCTATGAGGCAATCTATGGGGAGGCCTATGTTCAGCAGTGGACTTTAATAAGCTGTACCGGTAAGTGTATACAAGTCATAACTGATAAGTGTATACAACTGTTAACCCTTGATCTCTTTTTACGAGTAGATACTTTATGGATTTTTCTTACAATAAATAAAGTAAATTTACGGATGAACATACCAAACCACGGTGACCTCTTAACAAAGTTTATTGACCTTTGTGAATCTATCACGAAATCGCCCGCTAGGGGTTCAATTCATTATTTAACGCTGTCAGCAGTTCCCCGGCTATGGTTGGATTCCAAAATCATCTATACATATAATAAAACTGTAAATAGCAGATGTCTGTACATTTTATATTTTTGTAATAAAAGTGATTGAGGGGTACTAAAAATAAGTAATTAAATACATTTCTACCATTTTTAGAATTTTCTGGCTGTCTGTCTGTCTGTCTGTTTGTTTGTTAACGTATCACGTATAAAGTACTAATTTATATCATAAGAATTGTTAAGGAAATTATAAAGTGTATCTTCGGGTTACATTTAGTCTTTATTTCATTAAAATCAGTTCATTCCATCAAAAGTTATGATAAATATTCTGAAGTATGGGTAGGGAAGTATAGGTACGAATTTGCTCAACGGTGGCTTTGTTTGAGTCACCAAGTGCATTTTAAACTAATATCATATTATGATATTAGTTTAAAATGCACATAAATCATAGTTAAATTATGTAAAATAATGATATAATTATGTATATCTAAAACGCAGTAAACAAAAGTATTAAAGAACGTATTAAATATATTATACAAAAATATATTTAACCTTATTAACTAAATCTGAAGCACAACAGTTAACCCATTTCTTCGATAGATGGTGGTGTTGTGAAAATGGAATGCAATTGCAATGTGGTTTTTTCCAGTAGATGAGTTTTCATATTTATTGCTAATTTTTATTATATTACTCGCTGCCCTACTGCGTGTTGACAAACTCAATTTATTCTTTACCGCCGAGTACTCTATGTGGTAAATCAAATTTTAAAAGAGCTATTAACAATTGCGTTGGTTTTGGCGAGAGTCAAACTTTATTTTTTGCTTACTGTGCAGGCACTGATTTATAAGTTCTCTTGCGTTTTATATAATGTATCAATCGCGTCAATTAATCTCTTTTATTTTTAGAATTGATGTTAGCAGCGCCATCTCTCTTTAAATATATACATATAATAAAAATGATGATAACATGTTGTGTCTTTTTCTGTACATTGTATATATATTTTGGTGGCTAAAATCATTATGGGGAACTGAAAATAATTAAATAAGAACACTTTATAATTTTTAGAATTGTCTGTCTGTCTATTTGTCTGTTATTATATGAACGCATCACGTCTAAAGTAAACATCTTTTATTTTCAAAGAAATCGTTAAGAAAATTATAAAGCGTATCTTCGAGTTACATTTAATCTTTGTTTTATTAAAATTGGTTAATTCTATCGAAAGTAATGATTATTATTTTGAAATGTAGGTTCGAATTTGTTCAATGGCGCCATAAAATCTCAGAAATAGTAATAAAAAGATTTATGTGTAAAAAAAACATTCCATAATAATTAATATATTTATACTTAAAACACAATAAGAGATTTAAAAAGGATGTTTTCTCACACAAAGGACGTAATAGATGGAGTGGTACAAATTACAAACTTTTCTGAATTGCTGTGTTGAGATTTTTCGCCGATGAATCGTATTGAAACTTACTGAAGAAATTTGTATCCATCGAAGCCATACAAAGGAACCCCACCAAAAATAAAAATTTTGCTACGAAATGTCGTGATATTGTATTTATAATATACGCAAAATCAGTACTGCCATTTTAGCGCTTTGGGAACTACATTTAGCGCTTTTTTGGAATGTATAGCGCGCATTTCGAAATTTTAGCACCTAGCTTAATCCAGCGCTTTTTGGTGTATTTAGCACACATTTCAATATTTTAGCGACTAGCGGGTTATTAACTCTTTTATAGCAGCACTGTTAGTCCACATTACCGATAATAATAATAATGACCTTTATAATTTTTTCCCACAAATAGTACATTGCAGTTTATCTTTTTCAAACATATTTTTTCCACAAAACAAAGAGTATGGGAGACGAGTCCAAACTAGGATACCCTGTGCTATGGATCTCCTGGCTTCCCCTTTAGGATGATCAACTTGATTTTTTTACCGACGACTATAAGCGGGGAAATCCCCTTTATTAAAGTTTTCGTTCATGGTTCTGGCAACGCATTTATTTTGCTTTATTCAGTTTCAGTCAGTTGCTTAGAGCACAGCTAAGTTAAAAGTTACGTAGAAGTTATAACATAAAGAAACTGTGTAGCAACCGCAATCAGATGCTGACATCTGAAACTAAGTTGCGAAATACATTGCACTTTAAAACAATTAATGACATTTTTATTGTTCGTACAGTACTAACTACTGTTGACAGCAATTGCCATAGTTATAAGTCAATGTCCTGCGAAGTATTGATACATCTAAAAAATATTGCCAGAAAAAAAACTTAATGTTGTTTTCTTTATTATGATTATATAAAAAAACACAAACTTTGTTTGTAGTTAATTTAGCGCGAAATCTAGGGCTTTTTTAAAGCGCTGTTTTCATGAAATCTAGCGCTTTTTGTGTTGTCCTAGAGCTGAATGAGTTTTTTTTTATCTGGCAGCACTGCCCAAAAACCCTCTATTAAGAAGTAACTTTCCATTCAGTTTTAAGCGCGTTCAGTTC